TGTGGCTAGATTTGTTTTAAATGTTTAATTGATTTTTTATTTTCCAGGCAACTGATGCTGATCTCAGTCCAAATGATGATGTGATGTATTATATAAGCAGTGGTAACCATGGAAACCATTTTGATATTGACAATTCCACTGGTGGTCTTAGTGTAATTTCAGCTATTGATGTTGAAACTGAGCAATCACAGTTTATAATAGAAATCACAGTCTATAATACAGAGCCATATGTTGGTAACCAATTGAATAATACAGTCAATGTTACAGTCAATATACAGGTGAGTCTTTATAACAGTTGTAGATGAACTACAACAATAATCTTAAATATGAACATTCCATAAATCAATTGTGTTGAAAACTTTAACACATTGCACACCATATAAATGTAACTGCCCATGTAATGTGCAACATAAGGCTTTATGGTTCTTAATGTATGAATACAATTTCATCTCACTTGGTTGCTTGACCTCAAAAATTACAATTATTATTTGTAATTGCTGTATATTGAAGCTAAACTTGTGTAGAGTATCGAGTAAATAGTAACAGGGTTCAACCTTTTTTCAACGGTTAATCATTTTGTCTTAAAATGTTTCATTTAGGACATCAACAACAATGGTCCATTGTTTGAGAATACAACCTACGCTATTAGCATACCAGAAGACACCGAGTTAAGGAGTCCTATATTAAGATTGACAGCTACAGATGTGGACACAATAACATCATATTTTATATATTGGATTAGTAATGGTAATAATGATGGTATATTTGATATAAATGAAGATGGAGATATCATAGTGATTGGTGATATTGATAGAGATCCACCAAATAATAATGTATTCTTTAACCTTACGGTAAGTTTATTATATTGTAACAAATTTATTCACACTGCCCAAAGTCAATACAAGGATTGTGGTGATGATAATGATAGTGTTGGTGATGATGATGATGATTCTCTTGGTGCTCATCTCAACAGGTGACTGTGTCTGATGGTGATAGTAATACTGATAATGATACAACCAGTGTTATAATTGCCATATCTGACGTAAACGACAATAGTCCAGTCTTCTCACAAGGTAATCTTCTTATGGTTTCATAAAAGTTTCTTCTCATACATTTTAAAGTTTAATAAATTAATGTGTGTTTTGTTTGCTGAGTATGGATTGCATGAATTAACTTATGGGTATATGTAAGTGTTTAGTATGACTGTGATTTGCATAAATTTAGGGGTCAACCATTAAAAATTGTGGGCGGTTGATGAAAAAGAACAATTTGAATGCTGGACATAAGTAATTGCATGCAAGGTCTTCAAGGAAATAAATGCTTGCACATTCAAGAAAAATAATAATGCAGTAAGGCAGTTGGACTGGTCACACTCTTTCCCATGATTAAAAATGGTTGACCCCTTAGACAGGCCAAGTACATGTAAGCACAATTATTATAAACATTTACTAATTCAGTATTTTTATTGTAGGAGAAATTTTTGCACTTACTCTTCAAAATATAATGTCAGCACTTCACCTAGTAAGTAAAACAGTCACCTCGCCATGTGTTGCCAGAAGAATGTACCTCATGTTGTTTTTGAGATTTGTGCCCATTCTGGATCTATTAATAATAATCAATTCACAAATCAGTTTATTATAATTACACCAGTTAATTAATATTTCACCCACTATTAGAACTCGCGTAGGTTTCAACTTTTGATCGATGGATTTATTCATCCAATATCCCAGCGTAGAATATTTTTTTCTGTTTTTCGTGATACCGTGACTACCACAGGTGGGTTTTTTATGATTTGTTTGCACAATGTAATTGTTGTTCATTATCAAAATTTCTTCAACAAATCACTCAACAGTAGCAAATACTAACTAAGTTACATCTATTTCGCATCTATTCAAACTGTTTCCCATGTTTGTAAAATATACCATTTCTGACCATTTATTGTTTGTTGTTGCAGCAATTTTTTAAATAAACTCAAACTATTCTCAGACTGTTTAAATTTCAGGATGCTTGCTGCTTGCGTAAAATTCCACCATGCTTTAAAGACTAACAATATAATAATTCTATTAGTAATAGTACTTTATACATGGTTTCTTGCAAACTTTTTTTGTTCATTTCATTAACTATTTTGCATCCATCTTGCTACCATTTTTTCACTTATATGCAATTGTGACTGTTTTAATGCTTTGATGTTTCCTAACATTTCACTTTCAGCCAGTGTCACATATTTTTTTCATTCTATCATTTGCCAAAATTGATGTCACAGCATCTTACATAAACTAAGACTCGTGCTTCTCATTCAAAGGTGTAGGGTTACATGATGGATATTATATGGCTGAACATCTGTATGGTCGACATTGTGATTGGATGAATCATCTTATCATAATCCAGCTAATAAATTCATGAACAGCAACCTGTTGAATATCAGTGAAGACTATTTACCTAATAGTTCTATGACTTAAAGTGCCTGTGAAATGGCTGCTATTTTCACGCCTAAAATTATCAATTGATACATAAATATTATTAATTTTTATGTTTCTAAGCATGAATTATTTTTTTTAAGTGAAAAAATGTGTTTTAAACTTAGTCTATGGCAACTTTATTTTTGTGTATTTTAAAACGAGGCTCCTCATTAGCTTCTCATTTGCATACAGAAATTCCCCTTGTGACGTCAGAAGGGGAAGTCGCATGGCAGCTTGCATTGCCGATACGTGTAAATAAGGCAAATTTCTTGTGCAGTTTTCTCGTCTTTGACTATATTGTCACTTATGTACTTGTTCGGCGAGGAAGAATGGACCATAATGAACACATAGTATCAATTTTTAGCTCTGCTGTCGACTTTGTCGAGCGGAGCTTATCATATGAGTGATTGTCCGTCGTCGTCGTCGTCCGTGTCAATGTTTTACTTTTTCGACTTCTTCTTGAAAACTACAAGCCTGAATGCTTTGATACTTGGTGTATATGTACCTTGGGTAGACCTCTCTTAGTTTTGTTCATTTCATGT